AGTCAAACACCTTCAAAACTGCAAAATCAAAACCATTATCTAATGAAATGCTTTTGAATATGACAACTCTTTTCTCTGAAGTTAATTTCTTCATCAATACTGATATTTGTTTTTTAAAAACTCTTGGCTGTGATGTAAGAGTCCGGAACTAATTATACAGAAGAAAGCACAATTGTTCTGGGACAACCAGGAAAGAAATACTTCAAAGCAATTCAACTTCTTGCATCAACCCTGGCATTTGGTGGGCTGTTTATGTTGCCATGGGAATCCCTTCAGAAATGGAAGACTTTTGTGGGCGTAGATAGAAAAAATGGCAATATCATCCACACTTCAGTATAAATTTGATCTTTGGTATTGCCATGGGAGATGGCGAACCATCAAGCACTTTCTGTTTGTGTGTTAATTGCATTTTACAATTGAGAGTATTAGATCAGGATAATACAGCTGTAGAGAGTAGAATGTGAACTGTAGACATGCTGTTTGTTGAATATGTATCAGCATAAGTTGCATTAGGTCTATTGGTTTGTTAATTGCCATATTTGAAAGGGCTTGTAGGCTGTTGTCAGTTAGGATGAGACAGAACAATTGATGAGCAAGGAAGTATAAAAAATATTCCAGATATTATATAATTAAAAAATCCCGATTTATATGTACAAAGTCCATGAAAAGGCTTTCTTAAGCTTTAGAATACAAACCACAAAACCTTTTCCATATTCACAAGAAATGATCTAAACCCACTTAGAACATCAATTGTTAATTGTGTATGTTCAGGTCCATCTGATATCCATGTTACAGAGACATGAATAATTAAATTAAACACAGCATCTCCAGTTCTGCTTGGTACCAGTGTCTCCATCACCATCAGTAACATCTTACACTACAGTGTGTCTCCACCACCATCAGTAACACCTTACACTACAGTGTGCCTCCACTACTGTCAGTAACATCTTATACTACAGTGTGTCTCCACCACCATCAGTAACATCTTACACTACAGTGTGCCTCCACTACTGTCAGTAACATCTTACACTACAGTGTGCCTCCACTACTGTCAGTAACATCTTACACTACAGTGTGCCTCCACTACTGTCAGTAACATCTTACACTGCAGTGTGTCTCCACTACCATCAGTAACATCTTACACTGCAGTGTGTCTCCACTACTGTCAGTAACATCTTACACTACAGTGTGTCTCCACCACCATCAGTAACATCTTACACTACAGTGTGTCTCCACCACCATCAGTAACATCTTACACTACAGTGTGTCTCCACCACCATCAGTAACACCTTACACTACAGTGTATCTCCACTACTGTCAGTAACATCTTACACTACAGTGTGTCTCCACCACCATCAGTAACATCTTACACTACAGTGTGTCTCCACTACTGTCAGTAACATCTTACACTACAGTGTGTCTCCACCACTGTCAGTAACATCTTACACTACAGTGTGTCTCCACCACCATCAGTAACATCTTAAACTACAGTGTGTCTCCACCACCATCAGTAACATCTTACACGACAGTGTGTCTCCACTACTGTCAGTAACATCTTACACTGCAGTGTGTCTCCACCACCATCAGTAACATCTTACACTACAGTGTGTCTCCACTACTGTCAGTAACATCTTACACTACAGTGTTTCTCCGCTACTGTCAGTAACATCTTACACTACAGTGTGTCTCCACTACTGTCAGTAACATCTTACACTACAGTGTATCTCCACTACCATCAGTAACATCTTACACTACAGTGTGTCTCCACTACTGTCAGTAACATCTTACACTACAGTGTGCCTCCACTACTGTCAGTAACATCTTACACTACAGTGTATCTCCACTACTGTCAGTAACATCTTACACTACAGTGTGCCTCCACTACTGTCAGTAACATCTTACACTACAGTGTGTCTCCACCACCATCAGTAACATCTTACACTACAGTGTGTCTCCACTACTGTCAGTAACATCTTACACTACAGTGTGCCTCCACTACTGTCAGTAACATCTTACACTACAGTGTGTCCCCACGACCATCAGTAACATCTTACACGACAGTGTGTCTCCACTACTGTCAGTAACATCTTATACTACAGTGTGCCTCCACCACTGTCAGTAACATCTTACACTACAGTGTGCCTCCACTGCTGTCAGTAACATCTTGCACTACAGTGTGCCTCCACTACTGTCATTAACATCTTACACTACATTGTGTCTCCACTACTGTCAGTAACATCTTACACTACAGTGTGCCTCCACTGCTGTCAGTAACATCTTCCACTACAGTGTGTCTCCACCACCATCAGTAACATCTTACACTACAGTGTGTCTCCACTACGATCAGTAACATCTTATACTACAGTGTGTCTCCACTACTGTCAGTAACATCTTACACTTCAGTGTGTCTCCAGCACCATCAGTAACATCTTACACTACAGTGTGTCTCCACCACCATCAGTAACATCTTACACTACAGTGTGTCTCCACCACCATCAGTAACACCTTACACTACAGTGTGTCTCCAGCACCATCAGTAACATCTTACACTACAGTGTGCCTCCACCACTGTCAGTAACATCTTACACTACAGTGTGTTTCCATTACTGTCAGTAACACCTTACACTACAGTGTATCTCCACTACCATCAGTAACATCTTACACTACAGTGTGCCTCCACTACTGTCAGTAACATCTTACGCTACAGTGTGTCTCCATCACCATCAGTAACATCTTCCACTACAGTGTGTCTCCACTACCATCAGTAACATCTTACACTACAGTGTGTCTCCATCACCATCAGTAACATCTTACACTACAGTGTGCCTCCACTACTGTCAGTAACATCTTACACTGCAGTGTGTCTCCACCACCATCAGTAACATCTTACACTACAGTGTGCCTCCACTACTGTCAGTAACATCTTCCACTACAGTGTGTCTCCACTACTGACAGTAACATCTTACACTATAGTGTGCCTCCACTACTGTCAGTAACATCTTACACTACAGTGTGTTTCCATTACTGTCAGTAACATCTTACACTACAGTGTGTCTCCACTACTGTCAGAAACATCTTACACTACAGTGTGCCTCCACTACTGTCAGTAACATCTTACACTACAGTGTGCCTCCACTACTGTCAGAAACATCTTACACTACAGTGTGCCTCCACTACTGTCAGTAACATCTTACACTACAGTGTGCCTCCACTACTGTCAGTAACATCTTACACTACAGTGTGCCTCCACTACTGTCAGTAACATCTTACACTACAGTGTGTCTCTAGTACTGTCAGTAACATCTTACACTTCAGTGTGTCTCCACCACCATCAGTAACATCTTACACTACAGTGTGTTTCCATTACTGTCAGTAACATCTTATACTACAGTGTGTCTCCACTACCATCAGTAACATCTTACACTACAGTGTGTCTCCACTACTGTCAGTAACATCTTACACTACAGTGTGCCTCCACTACTGTCAGTAACATCTTACACTACAGTGTGTCTCTAGTACTGTCAGTAACATCTTACACTTCAGTGTGTCTCCACCACCATCAGTAACATCTTACACTACAGTGTGTTTCCATTACTGTCAGTAACATCTTATACTACAGTGTGTCTCCACTACCATCAGTAACATCTTACACTACAGTGTGTTTCCATTACTGTCAGTAACATCTTGTACTACAGTGTGTCTCCACTACCATCAGTAACATCTTACACTACACTACACCATGTCAGCCATTATGGCCATGACTCAGCACCTTTCTGCCAAAATGTATTGAATATTTTTGTATTTTTTGTTGGTAATGGAGCTGCTACAAATATGTTTATTGTGTGATATCTTAAATGTTTACCTTAATTTGACCTTCGCACTTCAACCATGGTCTAGTTTCCCTCAAATTGCGCTCCAGGCTGTGTCAACATCATCTACTCAGAAAGCACAGGATCAATGAAGTTTGAATTTTACAAGCTTGTTCCCACCAATAATGACGCATGAATTTATTCAAGAGATCCAAAACCAATTTTCACTATGACACTATCTCTTTTAAACATATTAAGCAGTTGACAACACACCTATGTAAACCTTTAAGACATATTTTTTTCCATATTTGTCTGCACTAAACACTCTGCATTTTTGTTTGTATCAAATTTGGCATCTAACATTGTTTTGTGCCAGGCCAAACTTGAATTTGTATGTACCCAGTATGTATTCAGAGAACATTGTATTGTGTGGCTACAATCTTTCGTATAATAATGATGCTGATTATGTAAATTGTTAACAAAGTATGAACACTGTGGCTGTTACATAGTACAAGTAATCCAGGAAGCAGTTCTGGTACAGTGACAAATTTCAGTTTCATTTTCATGGGCTCGGTACATCACAATATTGTCAAACCACATCAGCATGAGCTTTGTCTAATTCATACTGGAAGGAAATCAATATTCTAATCTGCCCTCATTTACCTTGCCAACTCCCACACAACATAGTTATTGTCGTATATCACTAGTTAAAGAACCATGTTGGATATCCCAAATAACCAGGAGACTCTTCCTAAAATACCCTTCTGATGTAATTGTTCAGTTTGTATTCACAAATGTTATCCATCACTGATAATGAAAGGGGTCCAGATCAGAAACTTACTATGAGGTAATGCTGATGATGCCATGTTCTAGTGACTGCAGCCACTTCAATCCTGTGTTGGACCTCACAACTCCACCCACCCATTGCATCCTACCACCACATCACACAAGCTTCCATTGGTCAAAGAATATGCATGGCCAGGTGACAGGTGTGCCTGCAGGATCATCTCCTAATCCCCTGTGTCTACAGGATACAGAAGGGCTAGAAATGTAACCATAACAACCTCAAATACTTTGATAGTGTCAGTTGAAAGTTGTGAGCTTTTGCGCAGACCCATTATTCCAGGGAGATGTGTGCCCTGTTTTGTGTGGAGAAATCAATAGCCCTGTTCCATTGACTAAGCAGAGTAAGTAAAGACAGAAGGCTTATCGCTTGCAGGGGGGCACTACACTTACTGGAACAGCAAGTCCATGAATTATGTACGTACGTTGGTAATGCTTGATTCCTACACATGGCTCTGCAGTGGCCCAGAGTGAATCAGTGAGGGAAGCGGTTGGCATCGTTTCTCTGGCATCGCTACAGCACAGGACGGTTGTACACACACAGCCAGAGCTGTGACAGTCAGTGAGGTTGGTCTGTTGCACATGGATCTACTTTAGAGGGACACTACAATAAGGATGGCTTTGATACTGCACCTCAAATATGCAGAAAATTTACGGGGGAAAGCGGATCGCCTTGCCAAAGTATCATTCCGAGGTGAGTGAGGTTAATCTGTTCAATTTGTCACATTGATTTTCAAAATCTCTCCATCTGAAAGATAGCTGTGACAATTTGATCATGCAGAGTGATATTTGTTGTCATGGACATGTTTTTGCATGTGGTTTTCATTGGCATTTACATGTCATATGTGAAAGAAATATATGTTGGATACAAACATGTAACCAGATTCTTAATTCTTAGTAAAGGATTTGATCATTGAGGTGGAATGCATGTTTAAGTCAATGATAATGTGCACACAATAATAATTATATTGTACGCTGTCAGATTATGTGGAATATAAGTGATACAAGCTTTTGCATTTTGGTCAGATATCTGTGTACTTTCGTGAGAGATTATTGTTGTTGCCCTGTGCTGATTTGCTTCAGCAAGCTTTGTCTAAGGGTGTCTGACAATAGGTGAAGTTTGTGTTACACCTGTAATGGTATACGTGCTATGTGTTCCGCTTCTTTGAGCACATTATCATGAAATACTTCCTGATCTGGTCTTTAGCATCTGACAGTCAGCATGTAGATGGTGAAACATGCTCAGACTTAATCTTTTTCAGCATATTTTTATTGATCTCAAATCACAATGCCTAAGTCATTTTTACATATTTCTTAGTTATTTATAATTGGTAGTTATTTTACAAATAATAGAAATAACTGGATATCATGTGTGCACAAATATTTCCTAACATCACTTTCTTATACACATAAATCCATTTTATGATATTATTTAACATAAATGTTTAAATGGTAATCACACTGTTACTGGTGGGAGCAGTTGTGATGTACGAATCACCTACCACCATTCTGCTTTGATCCCCCTATATCACTTAGGCTGCTAACACAAGAACCTTAGCCAGTGTCAAAGGCGGTATTGGTTAGCTTTGAGTTACTGACCTGGAAGATTAAAATGTTGGTTGTTTTTCATGAAAATAGAATTTGTTACAGAAAATTGCCATCGGAGAGAAATGAGTATTCCCTTAGAGACCAGTATTGTAATATGTGCCTCACAATATTGAGATATGCTACCTTTTTTAACCATCTTTGGTTAATGCTTCACAAAAGAGAAATTGCACATCACATCCTATTTAATACATGGGGTAATTGAAATCATTGGAAGAATATTAAGCAGTGCCTCTGAGATGAACATTATGTGCTGTTGAAGCTAAGGATCAGAAGTAAAAAATGTCATCATACCCCTAGTGCAAGAAGACTATGCCATCTGGATCCAACCTTTTGGAATGGTGTACACATGTAGATAGACATGCATACCATCACATGAATCTTTCAATAATACAAACACCTGATAAAGTGGTTCTATTTCAAAGGTTTACAATTGAAGTGAGTGCAACACTGACAGCCAGTGTGATGGGTTTGTAAGTACTCGTATGTCATGTTATTTCCCATGTGTATTATTAGTTGAGTCACACAGCTCTCTCAGTATTATCTTCATGTAGGATGTCTTTTAGAGAATATTATCAAATTCTTTATTTGGCTCACATTTCTATTGTGCAAAGTTGTGAAAGAGTATAGTAACTTATGTGGTACCGATATCTTTCTAGAACCTATTCCCTTGGGTGCTGTAATGTTGTATCTATTGCACCTATTATTGATTCTGCATTCAATGCTATCCTCAGCAGAATATATATGTCATGAACATTTAATATGATTATTGGAAAGCATCTAATTCAGAGACATCAGTACAAGTTTCCTGTTGTTTGAATCATCAAAGTTATTTTTAACATATACCAGGATCGTTTTCTTCATTTGATGGTGAAATGATCAGTGTCTGTGTATTTGACATCATAATAATCACCATACATTTCCAAGACAGATTTGAACTTTTTTGTAGAAAGTAGGGCTGGGACAAATCCTAATGTACTACCCAGGTACCCGATACCCTATTACCCAACCCTACTGGGTACCCACATGTAGGTCTCAAGACTTTTGTTCAAAACGTCCGAATGGAAATTGTTTTACCACAGCCCTAAATACACTAAATCTATTTAGATATACATAAGAAATGATCTGATCATGAATGCACTGAAGTTGACTGAAGCTTCATCTGTTACTATATTAAAGTCAGTAGGAATGCATGCATAGTCAGAAAGAAATGCAAACATTAGCAACTTGTAGTGTAAACATGGAGGTTTATTGTTATTGGCGTTAAACAATATATCACATGACTAATATAGTGACTAACCATGGGTCCAGGTAGTTGTGTGGGTACCCGGGTCCTACTCAGGACCTACCTGACCCAAGTACCCGAGTTACTTCTCCCAGCTGTAGAAGAAATTTTTAAAGTTCTTCATACACCCTTGTCATGAGAGAAGCAGGGCAACCCCATTCTTGTTAATGCTCAAGTATGATATGGAACTATAGTTGGCGGAATGGAATATAAAAGTTAAAATCAAGATTTTGTAATGAAGATTATTTTTTCCTCTGATGGAGGAAAAGGTCATATAATGACGCAATGATACATTGCTAATGAGTTCTGCTGAATGCCAGGAACATGTACTGGAAATGACATACCAAACATTCTCTCCATCAAGTCCCTCTAGCAGTCAGCACCGTTGCTGTACTGCAGTATGCACATGGTAGTTTCAACAAGGGAGTCTCCAGCTGAAATAAAGGTGCTGTCAAATATTGAATATTGTGTTATTAAGCACATGGCTCTCTAGGCAGTTCTAGATGAATAAGTCGGACACTCACAGCCAGTGTCAGCAAAAACAGATTGTGTTTTGTCAGATGAAAGCAGCAGGGGTTTGTATCATGTACGTTCAAAGATTTCAGGGCATTCTGCTTGTATAATAATTCATGTGTTGAAGAAATAATGAAATGATAGGTTGACGTTAACTCAATTTCAGCATACCCTCCCTCACACAATGCAGCCATTGCAGAGATATCAAACTAAACATGCTTATTCCATGGTTCAATCAGTGCTGTGTAGTATGACATTCACCAAATAGTCCCAATGAAATTGATAATAATGCTATTCATCCTTATCCCTAAAGGTTTTTAGAAACACAACACTTCTAAGCTAAGGTGATATTTAAATTGGATTGAACCAAGTTTTGAAACTGTATATTGTAAGTCTTATATGGATATGGAACAATTGTTTTTACATAGTATCATTATTCCCAGCACCTGGTAAAACACATAAGTTGTTCCTGAATATCAGATACGTTTATTATTTATTTCTCAAAGGGGATATGAACTGATGATGACAGATCAAGAAATTGATGTATTTGTCATACTTGTGTTTCTGTTCCCTTGTTTCATATGTGACAGCAGTATACGCTGGATAACAACATGTAACCAGATTCTACTAATTTGCTTGTCAAGAATCGTTGTTGCATCAAACAGATAATTATAATTTCCATGCAGATAATATCCAACCTTTCAAGGTCACTAAGAAGATACATACATGCATTCTTCCAATGTGACCTTTATGCTGGCAAGACAAATACTGCTATAGGCGACTCTTGTCATTTGGAAACACAGGAAAACATTCTGGCCTCATTTAATAAATGGTTTCCACTGGCAATATTGCACTCAAATTACAGTATCAGCAAGAAAGGGCTTAAATATGCAATGAAAAAACAAAAAATATAATATTTGTTAGAGATTCATAATTTTATTAATCATATCTTGTTTAAAACATGTTGCTACATGGAAATTGTGCCACATATCTTTTCATTTAATCAATGTGATATAAGTATGACAATACTGCTGAGTTGTTCTTTGTGAGTTTCACTGAGTTTCATTTTGCTGGTCTTACAATCTGATATGGCAAATGAACATGTTAAGGCAATTTTGTCAATAAACTGTCAACTGAGTCAGGCTGACTTTCCTAAAGCAATCCTTCAATATGGACCATGAGATCACTTCCCTGGTAGATGCTCCTAAAGTTCTAATGTTTAATTCAGATGTTATAAAGTTCAGTGTGAAAAAGTGGATATTCTGTGTATGTGTATAATAAGTGAATTATCCCCATCTCCATACTAATATGATATTTAGTCAGCTGTACATCAACGTCACTGTGATGCTAGTCCTGTATTGTCAAACAAGCAATGCTTAAGGAATTGTTTTAGATATACAATGCGTATGCATAATGTATTTAGTGATTTCCAGCCTTCAGCCTGAGAAACTATTGTTGACATTTCACTTTCAACTTGAGTGTAATCAATAACTCTTCATATTGTAATCTAGCTAGTTCACCAATTATGGTGCAGTAATAAGCGAAAGATATTTAGTTAATGATTCCCAGCAAGTTGCCAATTACCACTTCCAGCTAGGCCATGGAGCTGTGCGTTAGGTGTACAGTTGTGAATCTGCCTTATGCTGGCAGTGTTAAGTGGATTACTGTACAGCACCTAATGAAGATTCATCTGTCTCAGACACAGACAATCCCCTGGTGACCTCAGGCTTCATTGTACACCAGCATGTCAGTCATTAATAACTCACAGCCATTCATCCTAATGCACGTGAAATACTGCCACACATACCTGGTTGAGCACCTGTTTATACCTCCAGGCAATGTTGACTGTTGGGACGGAATTGACATTTGGACCATTCATCCTACTGGCACATTTGACTTTTACTGCCAAAGCTAGTTATCCTTGAAGCGACTAAGTAGTTTATATGACGTAGAATGTACATCTGTTAGAGCTCCAACTGTTTATGAGCCTGTAGGGTTATCAAAGATTAACTGGTATAGTGGTATAGACCTACTTAATGAGCTTAATAAATGTTATGTTCTACAAATGGTCAGGCATGTTGTAAGAGGAGAATGTGTTCACTGTTAGTTAGTTAGTAACTTAAGACACAATTTGTTTGTGTAATGGCACTGCACTTACATATAATCTCCCGGAGTAACTGGTGGCTGCATATTGTCAAGTGGGAAGTGTAAGATATGCTTTATTCCCTGCCATAAGTCACTGAACAATGTAGTTATATTTAGGACATGCATTTAGAGCATTTTTATAATTG